GGTGATCACGCCCATCGCCAAGTTCCAGCGGCTGCAGACCGTCACCAACTACTTCATCACTTCCCTGGCCTGCGCCGACCTGGTGATGGGGCTGGCCGTGGTGCCCTTCGGCGCCAGCCACATCATGTTGAACCAGTGGAAGTTCGGGAACTTCTTGTGCGAGTTCTGGACCGCCGTAGACGTGCTGTGTGTCACAGCCAGCATCGAGACCCTGTGCGTCATCGCGGTGGACCGGTATTTTGCCATCACCTCCCCGTTCAAGTACCAGAGTCTCTTGACCAAAAGCAAAGCCAGGGTTGTCATCCTCGTGGCGCCAGCCACATCATGTTGAACCAGTGGAAGTTCGGGAACTTCTTGTGCGAGTTCTGGACCGCCGTAGACGTGCTGTGTGTCACAGCCAGCATCGAGACCCTGTGCGTCATCGCGGTGGACCGGTATTTTGCCATCACCTCCCCGTTCAAGTACCAGAGTCTCTTGACCAAAAGCAAAGCCAGGGTTGTCATCCTCGTGGTCTGGGTGGTGTCTGTTCTGACCTCCTTCTTGCCTATCCAGATGCACTGGTACAGAGCGGAGAGCCCGGAAGCCCTCGAGTGTTACAATAACGCCAGCTGCTGCCACTTCTTCACTAACCAAGCCTATGCCATCACTTCTTCCATCATCTCCTTCTACCTGCCTCTGGTGGTCATGGTCTTCGTCTACGCCAAGGTCTTCCAGGTAGCCAAGAAGCAGCTGAAGAAGATAGACAAAAGCGAAGGGAGGTTTCATAACCAGAACAACAACCAGCAGGAGCCGAACGGGAGAGCGAGTCACCGGAGAACTTCCAAGTTTTGCTTGAAGGAGCACAAAGCCCTGAAAACTTTGGGGATCATCATGGGTACCTTCACTCTATGCTGGCTGCCCTTCTTCATCGTCAACATCGTGCACGTGATACGGGACAACATCATCCCCACTTACCTCTACATCCTCTTGAACTGGGTGGGCTATGTCAATTCCGCCTTCAACCCCCTGATTTACTGCAGAAGCCCGGACTTCAGGTACGCTTTTCAGGAACTGCTGTGCCTCCGGCGAGCTGCGCTGAAGTTGCATGCCAATGGGTACTCCAACAGCTACGGGAAAAGTGACTTCCAGGAGGAGGAGGAGGACAATGGCTGTCCCCTGGGACAGGGCAAAACGTGTGAACTGCTGTGTGAAGAAGCTGGGCTGCCTGCCAGCGAGGACTTAGCGCACTGTAAAGGTACTGTGCGGAACGGTTGCGTGGAGTCCCAGGGCGTCAGGCATAGCACAACCGAGTCCGTGTTCTAGAGACGCGCTTTTACACCCTCCTCCCGCCCCCGAGTCCAATTAAAAAGGCACCAACAATGTAACGGTTCTTTTGCAGGGCCAAGGGACTAAACCTAGCAAGCTCGCTATACATATGTGGGTGTGCCCCGTTCGCGGGGGGAGGGCTTGTTTATTTGCAGGATGTACAGAATCCTCGGGCAAGGACATGTTTAGTTCCTCCCCGACTGAGGGTTATTTTAAGACTGTGGATGAGGTTCGTCCCCTGAGGAATGCGTGACTGCTGCGGTGTTCTTGTTCCTGTTTATCTACCTCATAGCTCTAGTAATAATAAGCAGGTGACCGCTGCCCTCAGACTCCAGCTGGACTCAAGTCCCTTGGTGACGTGTGGGTGTCTCACGTCAGAGGGCTGTCTGTGGAGCCTTTACTGCGGGACCACTCAGGGTTCAATTTCCCCTCCTCTGAGGAATGGAGGCTAAAGTTTACTTCTTTGTGCAGTGTCTATTGGTTTGACCTCCCTGCACCTGTCAGTGCAAAGTCCTCTCCACTGTCTAACAGTGGGATGAAGCTCTAATGGCTTCATACTAAATTCTGCTAGGAATGGCTCATCTCCCTTCCCTCCCTCCCTCCATCCCTATTAATCCCAGTTCAGATGGTCACGCTTCACAGTAGTCCAGAAATGATTTTCAATTGCCCTTCACTTGAGATCTACATTTAATTCTCACCCACACATTTTCATTACTGTGTATTATTGAAATCCCAGTGATTTAGCTGTGAGAGTAATGGGTAATGTCAGCTTATGCTAAAGAAACTAACCCCACTTCTCCTTTCTAGAAGTTTCCTTGGTTAAGGATGTGTCTACACTGCAGGGTTTAACTTGAAATAAGCTATGCAAATTGAGCTACATCAATGATGTATCTTATTTTGACATAGCTTATTTTGAAATAGGGAGGGTCTACACAGCACTTATTTCCAAATATAGCACTCTTTCTCCAACTTCCCTTCCTCCTCATACAATGAAGGTTACACGCATCCAAGTAAGAAGTCCTCCAGCTTGACAATATTTTGATACTATTTTGAAATAACTGCCTGCTGTGTAGATGCGGACTAAGTTATTTCAGAATAGAGCTAGTTATTTCAAAATAGTGTTGCAGTGTAGACATACGCTAAAAGTGGGTTTATGTCCTGTACTTGGGACATAGGTAAATGTTGGCATCTAGAAGGATCTGAGCATAAATACTAGAGAATTAACAAGGATTAAGCCCATCATTGTTGGTGCTGGGTTTCTGTAGTTTACATCACCCAAACACAGGGGGCAGGGGCAACTGGACTGTTCAGCGAGAGCTGTAACATGAGTTAGCCCTTCCCTTCTGACCACAGTGAGCCTGATTCCCAGGCCACCACTCCTAGCTCTTCTGCCCTGGAGGTGACAAGCATAGCTAAGAAAGGTGGATCCGTCAGTCAGAACAGGGTCCAGCAGGTTTCAGCTCAGCAAGTAGCCCTCGAGCTGTTCCCAGTTACAGCCCTCCATCATTGGTTCAGTTTACAGAGGGACTCTAATGACATTTTAATGGAAATCTGCTGGGCAGTATTTTCCCCACTCCTAAAATTTCCCTCTTTTGCTCTTCCCATCTTTCAGAAGTGGTTATACCCGCTAACCCCAGTGCTACTGGTGTCATGCAACTGGCAGTCTGTCCTACAGCATTTTGTGTCACCTCTGAATAAGTGTCCCTCATCTCATGATGGCCAGGAACCACCATACGATGATCCAGATCACCCCATGCTGTTATAAAGTGAAATCTCCCCTCCTCCTGCTCCCACACACAGCCAATAAACCAGCACTTGAACCTGAATTTTCTTGTTGTACAAAAGAAAACAATGAAATGAATCACATGGTCAGAAATTTTCTGATGGAAAGTATGGTGCAAAGTCCTGCTTATGGAATAATCCTCTGGAACTCTACAGAACCAGCAGAGTTCTGCAGGGCTCTGAAAAGGTTCGTTTAGAATTTCCATAAAACTTTTATATGTTTAAAGGAAATGAGTTCATTTCTATAGGGATTTAGAACTGCTCTATAGAAATATATACAAGATATAGGTCTGTTAAATTTGGTAGGATGATTTATAGAAACAAATAAAAGAGTGTTCTCTATTACATTCTATAGGATTGTGTCATAAAAATAGAAAAAAACTTGGGGAATTTGGGAGAATGAAGAAGACTGATTGAAAATGTCACTGAGATGGTAGCTGGAAAGTTGTCTCTGTTGCTAAGTCACAGAAAATCATTTTAGTCAAACTTCTAGCTAAAGGTTTGTTATTTAAAATAAAATAACTTGGTTTATTTAATTCAGAGAGTGTCTGATGTCAAGAGACAATGGATATGGAAGGCTGGGTCAGTTTCCAATATTACTGTGTGTTTTTGTGGCACTGTTTTAATTTAATTTAATTTTTCATGTTGTTCCTGGTTTGCAAAACTTGCTTCCCGTTGGCTGCAAGCTCCCCTGGGCTGTCAGACGGGAAGCTAATACTTAGACATAAGAGGACAGGTGCAGGCGGGAAGGAGTATAGTCAGGGGTGAGGAACTGAGAAGGAACTGTTGCTCTTCTGCCTCTCTCAATGCAGGAATTGATTAGAGAACAGGGCTCTTTCTTTAGGCTCACATGGGCATTTTTTTAAAAGGGTGCGGCTCAACTGCAAAGGGGATGTGAAAAAGAAGGGTCCTTTCAAAACATATTGAGGTGGGGGGAAATCACCCACGGGGTCCTTTACCAGGCAGTTACATTTTCCATTCCAATCTGTTCTGTGTACTTACATGCCAAATCCCTCATCACAGTATCTGAACGCTTCATATCTTGGGATGTTGGGCTCTTTCTGTTTTCCTGCTTTGTTATTACAATCTGTTAATACAGAACTGCTGTCTTAGGAAACTGCTTTGCGCTTTGACTAATTTGCTTGAAATAGCTTTTAGTCAATCTTGGAGTCATGCAAAGGTCAGGCAACTCCATCTAAAAACGTTTTGACTCGTGTCCTAGGATTCGCATAAGGGGTGACCTGGAATAGAACCTTAATGAGAAAAAAATACGAGGGAAAACAAAACAAAATTGCAAATTTAGTAGTAATGATTTCAGATGATGGGCTGCTCCCAAATGCAGCATTTGTTCAACCACACACCCAAAGCTTTGCCGCAAAAAGAATATTGTCATTGTAATTGGTGTTTCCAATGCATTTCTGAGTGAGCCTGTTCATGTAAAGCATAGATTGTCTTTGCCTTTGGCTCTTTCTGTATTGAAAATACTTTCTGCACTTGGTTGGGAAAGTTTCCTGTAGTTCCTAGGAGCTGTTGAGGCCTCAGGAAGCTCAGATCTCATAAGCATTATCCTGCCAAGTGAGGCCTGCTGCAGAGACTGTCAAGTGAGCATAAAGTGGTGAGGATTTGCTTGCTGATTTCTTACAAGCTAAAGTCTCTGCGTCTTGATCAGAAATCTGTAGTCTACTCTCTTTCAGGGGAGATTTTTGTTGTGTCTGTTAACAGCAGATGCCAGAGATGTAACTAATTCATGGAGTCCCCCCCTTGTGCACACAAGAACTTCTCCTCAGCCAGACTGGTAAAAGATCTGTGGAGTTGTCCCACATGGAAGGTGCTCTTTGCATAATGTGCAGTGTTTCTTTCTGTTTCCCAACTTGCTCACCTACCTCCCAGGGAAAAAGCACTTTGTTAAGCAGCAAGTGAGCATTTGTAGCCCAAACCACATTCATAAACCTTTCCTTTTGTGCACAGTCATGCTTGGGATTATCATTTACATCAAGCAGGTGGTTATAAAGGCAGTAAAAACCTGAAATAATTTACTCTATTGTAAAATAAGTTCAAAGCAGGTGTAAACCCCACCATTTCTGCTTTCTTTTCACGCCCACTGTGCACTCACTCACTTTGTGCACTCACTTTTTTGGACTGAGAGAGCCCGATCCTTCAATCCTCCTTCAAAGGCCAGCAGGTATGGTTGCCATTACAAAGAGAGTTTTGCCTGGATTAGATCAGGACTTCAGAGCTGAACCCAAAGTGAATGTGGCCTGAGAAGGCTTTTGCCTCTTTCAGTAATTGACTGCTATGTGAGGTGAGTTCCAGGAAGTCCCTGCTTGTTTACCATTTGACTGCCCCCTAGCACCAAAGAGAGAACAGGTTTGCTATGGGGAGGTTGATTGGTGCATCTCTCCCTGCTGTTGATGTCAGGCTGTAAGCAGATCCCATGCGCAGTTTAATTCCCATATTAAGCCTTTAAAATACAGCCAGTTCCACTGAAACAAACACGCAGAGTGATGACATTACAGGGTACATGCAATTGCTGATACGGGAAGTCACAGGGTCTACAAAAACAATCTCTTTGCAAATAAACATTAACAGGCTGTCCTGGCAGAATGAAACCTGACACAGTGCAACATTTAGGAACTCAGAAAATGAAGTGCTGTTTGTTAATGAAGCTTGTTTTGTACAATGCAAGGATTTAGATGCAGAAGTACAGTTGTACAGTACAGTAGGTGCATGCAAACACACACTTTCATGATCTATATGTCCATATTCTGCATCAGTGTATCTATTCATTATTATTATATAGCAATCCAGAGGAAGTACAAAATTAGTTACAAGTTGTGGTTCTCAATTTCCTCTCCCGTGTTTGTCAGTCTGAACAACCAATAACCACCAGTCGCTTGCAGTGTTTGTAAAATGAATATGAACATATCCTCATGAATGGGATTACATATATATGTGACATAAAGGATCTACACCAAGACAGGGTGGCTTTATAAGACTGATTGAGCCAAATGGGGGGAGGGGCGGGAGACTGTCATCCTTTCACAAGTAACAGGATTACATTCTCTTTAGCAAGGGCCCATTACTGGTGTCATTGACATTACTAGCCAAACTTCCATTGCCTTGAATTCAAACAGGCACAGGCCCTGA